TAATGAGTGCTGTTACTGTCATTATCGGAGATGCTTACAGTGCGCTGGACTCGCAAACCGAGAAGCTGGCCAAATGCCTCTTCCACCCGCCTGGGAGGCAGGGAGAGGAGAGCTGCAATTTGGGTGGAGTGAAGTGGGTTTCCCTGGTAGGAAAGGCAGTGGGCGGAACTGTTACTTTAAATAATGTTGCCTACAAGCCAGAAATAGGTCTCCCAGGCAGGGAGCACTAAAGAGACAGCCCAAAGAGACGGAGGCAGAGGAGTGGGAGAGAGGCTGCACCCGCACTGCTGGGGCAGGGAGTACCTGCCCTCAACCGCAGAGGGGGACAGAGAGCAGCCTGGGGGAGGGGAGGGGCCAGCAGCCCATGGGCCTTCCTTGTGGCCCTAATTAGGCCGTAACTGGGACCTGGGGATTCCTGGCTGAAGCAAATAGACATAGTCCTTGAGACTTGAAAGGCTGAGGCAGTAGGATCGCTTAAGCCCACGAGTTTGAAGTTACAGTGAGCTAGGATCTCGCCATTGCACTGCAGCCTGGGTGACAAAATGAGACCACCCTGTCTCTAAAAAATAAAAATAATAAAATAAAAAAGAAATAGGCTTTTATTAAAGTTTAAATTTCACCACGCTTCACTGACATCAGCAAACAAATCCAGATCCAATGAGCCCCTGGCGCCTTTTTTATCATGTATGCTTAAATTATGTGCACGACGTGCATCTTTTTATTTTATTTTTAAAATAAAAGCAATATATGCATACGATAAAGAAAAGTCTGATGGCATACAAAGACATAAAATCAAAAAATAGAAGATTCCCCGCCCCCCATCCCGGATAACTCTCCCAAAAGGGAGATAACACATTCTGGAGTATCCATCTTGAAAAAATTTTATGCCTATCCCAGTGTGTTTGTGTAGTTATAAGTGTGTGTGTTTGTGCTTGTGTATTGGTATACACACATACTCAGAAATATATATATATATATATATACTATTTCAATTTACCCAAATGGCCTTATAGCAAATAGCATCATGTCGTCACACTTTTCTATACTTTCTCTTGCATTTTTGCAGCAAACTTAAATTATTATTATTGTTATTATTTTGAGATGGAGTCGTTGTCGCCCAGGCTGGAGTGCAGTGGTGCAATCTCAGCTCACTGCAACCTCCGCCTCCTGGGTTCAAGCGATTCTCCTGCTTCAACATCCCAAATAGCTGGGACTACAGGCGTTCACCACCACACCCGGCTAACTTTTGTATATTTAGTAGAAACGGGGTTTCGCCATGCTGGCCATGCTGGTCTTGAACTCCAAGTGATCTGCCCATCTCCGCCTCCCAAAGTGCAGGGATTTTTATTAGACCAGTGTGTATGATGTCAAACATTAAGGGTTTGGTAGCCTGTATAATGAACAGCAACTGATAAGAATATATTATCATTCTTGTCCCTAACAGTCAACTATGAGATTGTTTAGCATCTTGCTATCGCGTGCTTTTATTCACAAACCTTCCCCTCCTCCCCAGCTCTTTCTTTCCATCCTCTGTATGTCTTGGACACCTTCCTACCTCCTCTCATACATGTGTTCATTCTGTGGCTGCCGCATCATTTATTGATCCAATTCCATTTTGATGGACATTTAGTTTGCTTCCAGCTTTTGTTTGTTTGTCTCTGCAATGGCAAGCAAATGCTACAGTGAACATCCTTGCACATATTTTTTTTGTCACATAGTTGCTAGTGTATCTAAAAGGCCAGCTCCCCAGGCTGGGAGTGGTGGCTCACGCCTGTAATCCCAACACTTTGAGAGGCGGAGGTGGGTGGATCACCTGAGGTCAGGAGTTCGAGACCAGCCTGGCCAACATGGTAAAACCCCATCTCTACTAAAAATACAAAAATTAGCCAGGTGTGGTGGCAGGTGCCTATAATCCCAGCTACTAGGGAGGCTGAGGCAGGAGAATTGCTTGAAGCTGGTGGGTGGAGGCAGCAGTGAGGCAAGATCATGCCACTGCACTTCAGCCTGGGCAAAAGAGTGAGACTTTGTCTCAAAAAAATAGAAATAAATAAATAAAAGGCCAGCTCCCAGGAGCACAACCTGTGAGTCAAAGAGCTGGCATATTCTAATTTTCACAGACTTTTTCCCAAAGGCTGGGCCAATTTCCAGTACCACCAACAGTCCTGTGGGTATACCTTCCCCTCCTCCCCACTCCTGCCAACCCTGGGTTTGACCACACCTGAAAATCTTGGACGATCTGTTAGGCAAACATGGTCTTGTCGTCTTGATTTGAATTTCTTTCACTATGAAGGAAGTCAAGCATCTTTTCATGAGTTTATCAGCCATTTCTGTTTCTTTTCCTCTCTCTGGTGCTTTTTAATAACATCTGATTCCATTTCCAAAGGCAGAGAGCTTTTCCAGCCCATCTCTTCTTCCATCTCCCCTCTAGGGTCACCCCATCACTTTAGAGACCCAGACGGTTCCCCCACAGTGGCCTCCCCTCACCTCAGGAGAGATGGGAAGCAAGCAGGAGAGAGGGCTGAGGGTGGATTTGAAAATGAGGTGAAAGGAGGAAGAGAGATTTGCCAGAGCTTGGGCACCGTTGTCTCCCCGCCATCACGCTGTGCACAGTAGCAAGAGACAGATAAGAGCTGCAGCCGGTGGCAGAGATAAGGGGCTTGGACAGCCAGAAGGTTCTGGAAAATGCTGCAGAGCCGGAGCCAACTTGGCACGCGGCCAGTTGTGAGTCAGGCCTGCACGGACCCAGGATGGAGGGTGGGGACCTTGGGATGTGACCTCAGCTTCACAGCCAGGCTTGGAGTCTGAAAGGCTCCGTGGGACTTTGCCTCTTACAGTGTGTGAAACTTACAGGTTACTGACAAGATGTTTCTGAGCCTCAACTTCTCCACCTCTAGAAGGAAGGTGCTATTAGGGTTAGTGTGGAGATTAAGTCATAGGCTCTCACATGCTGACTGATGACAGTTTGCAACTGCCCTCATAAAAGTCAGGCTAGGGTAGTGGGCTTTGTGTAAAATTTAAGTTTAAAAATCTGTTAAAAATTGGCTGGGTGCGGTAGCTCACGCTTGTAATCCTAGCACTTTGGGAGGCAGAGGGGGGAGGCTCACTTGAGCCCAGGAATTCAAGATCAGCCTGAGAAACATAGAAAACCCCCATCTCTTTTTTTAAAAAGCTTTTTTTAATATAAAGGAGGAATAAAGTTTTTTAAATGACTTTATGCTGAGATGAGGGGTTTTTTGTCATCTCAGAAATGTCCTTTTTAAACTAAATGCTAACCATTTCTGTTGATTTTTCTCTTCCTGGCACTTTTTAATATTATCCCTTTTTAAATGTTTTTGTTGTTGTTGCCTGATTATTTGTCTGTTTGCCTTCTGGTTGGTTTGTTTTAATAATCTTGGCAAAGCAAGAAGTTCACCGTCTCGTGTTGGTCTCACTTTTTTAAGTGTTACTGGTTCATGATATTCAATAGGCTGGGAACTGCTGTGTGAAATGAAGAAATGTATGATAAGTACTTAACACAGTGTCTGATGCAGAGATGGTGCTCCGGAAGGGATGGTGGTTGTTTCATTCTTGGGAAGATGATGATGATGACAGGCCCTAGCCAGATCTCATCTATTAATAAAACAAAACTGGCATCTCCTGGGAATAAGGCTGCTGCATCCCAGGGTTGGCACACCTAGAGATACCCTAGAGGCAGGCGTCAAGGAACTTGTCCACCAGGTCAGCTGGGCAAACCCTAGAATACCCACGAATTGGGGAGAGACATCCTAGGACATCCCTTCTTCCTCTGAGGGTCCTGTGGGACCATTGCCTAGGGATGGTAAAGGTGACCACCAAGCGTGAACCAGGGGAACTAGCCCCTGGTCCCCAGTCCCCTCCATCCACTCCTGTCCCACTGTCAGAAGCTCCTCTCACTGACCTGCCTCCTCCTTGCCTCTCAGCCAGGTGAGTGCACATACATCTGCTCCCAACTGCCTGCCCGCCAATGCCAGAGTCTGCTGCTCTGTGGGTAACAAGTGTTTCTGGAGTGGGCTTTCAAGGGGCCAGCCTGGAGTCCCACATCCTGTCCCCAGAGCCCACAGAACACTGGCCTGTCTTGTTCAGAAGGCTCTGCCCAACCCCACCAGCCCAAAAGCAGCAGTGGAGCTGTATTATTAGTTCGTTTTCATGCTGCTGATAAAGACATACCTGAGACTGGGCAATTTACAAAAGAAAGAGTTTAATGGACTCACAGTTCCATGTGGCTGGGGAGCCCTTACAATCATGGCAGAAGGCAAGGAGGAGCAAGTCACATCTTACATGGATGGCAGCAGGCAAAGAGAGAGGACTTGTGCGGGGAAGCTCCCCCTTATAAAACCATCAGATCATGAGACTTATTCACTATCACAAGAACAACATGGAAAGACCCACTCCCGTGATTCAATTATCTCCCACCGGGTTCCTCCCACAACACTTGGGAATTATGGAAGCTACAAGATGAGATTTGAGTGGGGACACAGAGCCAAACCATATCAGGGGCTGTCTGTAATTTTGAGGAAGGAATGATACTGAGCATTTGGGAAAACATGTAAATTTCCCTGTCTCTGTCACCTCCATCCATTTCAACTAATATTTATAGCACAGTCCTGTGCAAGGGCAAAAAAATACCCCCACCTTTCTCAGTCATGTGAGTCACAGGTGAAGGAGAGAAGCTGCTTCCAACAGAGCTGACACAGCCCTAGGGTCACGGTCAAGGATTTGGGTGCAGCACCTTCTGTGCTTGGAGAGGCGCAGGCTAATTCCCAGGTGACTGAGTAAAGGCCTCATTGGCTTTAGGAGGAACGCTCCTATTTATTGATAAAGACCTTTGTGTGATCCTATGACATGGCCAGAGAGTCAAGAGTTCCCTGGTACTCTTATTCCAAAAGAGTGTGACCTGGCAACCTCTGACCTCTGAGCCCAGTCTGACCTCTGTACCCCTGCAGCTGCCTGACTTGCTCACTGGCTGTCTCATCTGTCCGTAGATACATGATCACCAGCCTGGACCGCACCCACGCTGGCTTCTACCGTTGCATCGTGCGGAACCGAATGGGCGCCCTGCTGCAGCGGCAAACTGAGGTCCAGGTGGCCTGTGAGTACAATGGGGACCCGGGGGCAGGGGGGAACTATGCTGCCAGGGTGGCACCCACTAGCCACATCCTGGGCAGAGCCAGATCCCATCATGGCCATCTATACCCAGAGTGCCCACATTGCCCCTTCTAGCCAGCGACCTCATTTTACGGTTGGTAGAACCAAGGCCCAGAGAGGTAGCAGGCCCTCTCCAAGGTCATGCAACTGTAAGTATCATGCAAATCTCCTGACCCTGGTGACCCCACAACATGTCCTGAGAGCCAAGAGCTCCCTGGTGCTTTTTATTCATTTTAGACAAGGGTGGCTGCGTCTGTGTCCTTTCAATGGTACCAGCTGATTTGTGTTTCAAAAAAGGGCCTTGCACCTGCTTCAAGTGTCTTCTCTGTCGTCCACCTCACACCTGGGAAGGGGCATCTTCAGAATGGCCACTCTGAGCCTCTCCAGCTACAACCCTCTTCTCAGCAGACTTCCCAGGGCCTCCATGACTTTTATTTTGTTTTTGTTTTTGTTTCGAGATGGAGTCTCGCTCTGTCATCCAGACTGGAGTGCAGTGGTGCAATCTTGGCTCACTGCAACCTCCGCTTCCAGGTTCAAGCGATTCTCCTGCTTCGGCCTCCCAAGTAGCTGGGATCACAGGCATGTGCCACCACAGCCAGCTAATTTTTTGTATTTTTGGTAGAGATAGGATTTCACCATGTTGGCCAGGCTGGTCTCCAACTCCTGACCTCAAGTGATCTGCCCACCTCAGCCTCCCAAAGTGCTGGGATTACAGGTGTGAGCCACCATGCCCAGTATGACTTTTATTTTCCATCCTCCAACTTGCTCAATCCTGGCGCGATAGCAGCCTGGGGGTCCCTGTGATCTTCCAGGGGTGCTGGGAGGTGCCTCATGGTGAGTGCTGAAACTCCAAGAGGAAAGGGAGAGTGAGGAATGAATCAGGGTTCACAGAAAGGCTGGGGGGCAGAGAGTGAAGCAGGAGGCCCTCACCAAGCCTTTGTGCATAATGGCCTTCTCCCCAGTGCCGCCAATTCTAGAGGATCTCCCTCCGATGAGGAAGGGAAGACAGCTTCAGAAGAACCCCAGGGCATCTCAGGGGCCAGGGTCCTAGAGCACCAACCAACACTCTTCCCCCAGGACCCAGTGTCCCCTTCCCAGCCCTGTCCCCGCTTCCTCAAATATCTGCTGTCTTCTAGAAATGAGGCTCATTATGGGCTGTTTCATTCTGGGCTTTCCTAGGAGGAGAAGTGGTACTGTGGGACATGAGAGGGTGGCAATCCTTAGAGAGGCCTGAATTTTGAATTTTTTTTAAGGCACCCTCTCATCTGGAGCACATGGGGGCATGCTTCTAAATTAGCACAGGAGAGAGCTTGCTACTTAAAGAGAAGTGCAGGAGAGAAATCTAAAAGAAAATCTCAAGTGAGGCAAAGAGTGTTTATGATAATTACGGAAAACAACCGTAATCAAAAGTGGAGGATGGATTGTCCCCATAAATCAGCACTAACGGCAACTCAGCTTACTCCAAGGAGCAGAAAAAGCCCTGAATTAAAGTGACGGATCTCAGGCAGCTGTCAGCCGGCTGGAGGGCTCTCTGGGAGCTTCGCTTAGTCAGTGCTGAGAGTCCAGGGGGCAGGGAGAAGCTGTGGCTGAGGCTCCAGAGACTGCATGTGTGTGTGTGCATGAGTGTGTGCCAATGTGTGTGCATGGGTATTGTGCAAATGTCTGTGTCCGGGTTGGTTGGCCTTTTTGTTCACATGTGTCTGGGAAAGAATGAGTGTGTATATGTGCAGGTGTGTGCACAAGGATATTTGTGTGTGTGTGTGTGTGTGTGTGTGTGTGTGTGTTTGCATGCATACATGGGTGCTTGGGTATATGTTTCTGTTGCCAGTCTGCCTCTCACCTGTGTATTTGAGAGAACATGTGTGTTGTAAGCATGAGTGTGAGTGGGTGCAAATGTGTGCCCTTGCATTGCAGGTATCCATGTGTGTGCATTCGAGTATGTGCAAGTGTGTGCACGTACACGTATTGGTTATCTGTGCAGATATGCGTGTCTGGAGTAACCTGTCTCTTTGTTTACCTGTGTGTGGGCCAGAACCTGTGTGTATGTGTGCACGCACAGTTGCAGATGCCATCCAGGATGCCATTTAGTCCAGGCCGTGGGCTGGGGGTAGGTGTAAGTTCCAAGCCCTTGGCTCATAGGAGACAGTAGAAACGTTCTGGAGTTGAGAGCCGCTGAGATGAAATGACACAGCCTCCCCGGGGTTGGCTCTGCCAGTCAAAGAGAGAAAGGAAGGGAGGTCAGGGTTTCTGTGGCTGAAATGCTTCTTTCCTTGGCTGTGGTAGGAATCCCTGAGCCCAGACTCAGCTCCTTGACCCCCCTCCTTACGCAAACTCCTTCCCACATATGCACAAACCCAGTGTGGGGGGAACTCCCTCCACACCAGGCCAGACACATGTGTGGTCCCTTCCCCCGGACCCACAGGTGTCCTTCTGCCTTCACACTGGGGGAGGGGTGTGACCAGGCCCATCTGCAGGGCGAGCAAGCAGGGAGCACGGATCACGGGCAAAGGTCCTGGCATTTCGTGAGTGCTGCAGAGAAGGGCTCAGACAGACCTGGGCTCTGCCCTCTGGGCACTTCCAGGCCATGAGAAGCAGATGGAAGGGGACTTGTACTGCCTGACACCCTGACACCTGCCTGACACTTCTGCCCAGGCACACACCCTGGGGATAGGGGTACCCTGAGCTTCCCCTTCCCCACACTGCAGGTTCAAAGGGCCCTGGACCACACTGGGTGATGCTGGCAGTGATGACCCTCAGTGGCAGTGACATATGGGGACCTCACTCAAGAGGGAGCTTCTGAGATCCAGGGAGTTGCTGAGCTCCAGGGCAACAGTGAAAGGGCTTTGCAGGTAGTGCCTTACAGTGTTGGCAGGCTGGAGGCTTATCACCATGACAGGCAGTTTGGCTTGATAAAAAGAGTGGACTGGCCAGGTGCGGTGGCTCACGCCTGTAATCCTGGCACTTTGGGAGGCCAAGGCAGGCGAATCACAAGGTCAGGAGTTCGAGACTAGCCTGGCCAAAATGGTGAAACCCCGTCTCTACTAAGAATACAAAAATTAGCCGGGCATGGTGGCGTGCGCCTGTAATCCCAGCTACTCAGGAGGCTGAAGCGGGAGAATCGCATGAACCCAGAAGGGAGAGGTTGCCGTGAGCCAAGATCACACCACTGCACTCCAGCCTGGGTGAAAGAGTGAGACGCCATTTCAAAAATAAAAAATAAAAATAAGGCCAGGCACAGTGGCTCACGCCTGTAATCCTAGGACTTTGGGAGGCCGAGGCAGGCAAATCACAAGGTCAGGAGATTGAGACCATCCTGGCTAACATGGTGAAACCCCATCTCTACTAAAAATACCAAAAAACAAAATCAAAAAACAAAAAATTAGCTGGGTATGCTGGCATGTGCCTGTAGTCCCAGTTACTTAGGAGGCTGAGGCAGGAGAATTGCTTGAACCTGGGAGGCAGAGGTTGCAGTGAACTGAGATTGTACCACTGCACTCTAGCCTGAGTAACAGAATGAGACTCCATCTCAAAAATAAATAAATAAAATAAAATAAATAAAAGGGTGGACTTTGGAGTCAGACAGACCACATTCACATCCTTGCTCTGTCCTGGATTGCTGTGTGACCCCAGGGAAGTGACTGGACCTCTCTGAGCTTCACCCCAGCTCAGGTTCTTCATTCATAAAATGTATTACTAATATCAACCTCCTAGGCTCATTGGAAGGATTTATTGAGCTCATATGTGCCAAAGCTCCTAGCCAGCTCCTACACAGTGCACCCTGCGTCAGTGGGAGCGACTGCTGCAGTTAATAATCTATATTATCACTTTAAGGAAGTAGAGAAACAGCCACAGAGCAGAATAGCCTTCAGCAAATGCTGTCCCAGCAAAATGCAGCAGGCTGGCACCTTCCCCGGTGCCATCCTGCCAGCCAGGCCCTGCCCCCTCCACTACCTCAGTGGGATTCCTGCCCTGTTTCGGCAGCCCCCTCAAAGCCCCAGAGCTCCAGGTGCCCCCAGACATAGTTAAGACCGTGGATGTCACTGAATTCCACCAGGGCCATGCTGTGCTGCCAAGCTGTGCACATGTGGGTAAGGCTCCTGGCACAGGAATGGGACACCTTGGAGTGGCTGAAGGGGGAGCAGAGAGAGAGACCCAGGTTAACCTCCCCCTGTCCACCAGCTGCAGCTCCCTGAAACCAGCATTGGGAAGCTGCCCCTGCTACTGCACACGGCTTTGCAGGTGTGAAGCTGTTTCCTCCATAATGTTGTAAAGTGGGAACCACAGTCCACAGCCCTTTGGGCCCTAAAGCCAGGAAGTTATAGAAGCCCTAGAAAGTCCTTCCGGCCCTTGAGAAGAATGCAGTTCCTGACAAGCTAAGGAAGGTTTCACACAGCCAGGACGGGAAGGAGAGAAGCATATGTCCCCCATGCACGCCCTTGCTTGCTGGACACGCTGCCCTCATCCCAGAGGGGCCGCCCTCTCTAGCTGTAGAAGCTGAAGACTCCTCTGTCCCAGCCCCACTTGCCTGGGATTCTGGGCCTAGGGAAACACAGCACTTGGCAAAACCATTCTCACTCACAACAGTGCTCGTCCTAAGGGTCACTGTGCTGGGAAGGGCACAGTGGTTCTCGTCCCAGTCTGTGGAGTACAAGTCCCCATCTCCCTGTTGCAGATGAGGAAACCGAGGCTCAGCCGGGTGACACACCTTGTCTACGTCACACAGTTAGGAAAAACCTGGATTTGAACCTATGACTGGTTGATTCCAAAACAGCCCCCCACTCAGCTGCTTGAGGACAAGAAGAGAAAAATCAAAATTGGGTGTGTGGGAGGAGGGTGAGGGTGAGCTGCTGGGGTCAGAGTTCAGACAGAATCAGGGACAGCCCTGGGCTGTAATAATCCATGTCCAAATGGCTCTGCAAACGCACGCGGTCTCCCACCTAGGGTGAATGTCTAACGCCAGTGGGTAGAGTGGGGTAGGCTTTACCAGTCACATCGTTTTCCTTGCTCTCGGCAGGGCGAGTAGATGCAAAGTACCTACACAGAGCTCCAGGGTTCCTCTGCGCGCTGGGCACGGCCCTTGTGCCTGAAATAACGGCATGTCGTGGGGATGGAGGTCCGAAAACGTGGATTCTAGCCCCAACCAAGGCACTGACGAGCTTGGAACTTTGGGCACCTCCCTTCCGCTCTCTGGGCCTCAGTTTTCCCATTTGTAAAATGAGATCCATTTCAGTTCTGATGTTAATAAGGTTAAAGTGACCTTCAGGGTCATGACCCATGGGGCCCAACCGGGAGAGAATTGTCCCCCAAAGCAGCCCAGAGCTGCCCCATCCTGATGCAGAGCCTAAGGGGGCTTCCTCGGAGCTTCCAGAACAACCCATCCTGCTGTGCCATTGTGTAAATGTCTTTCTTCTGTGGGCTCCCAAGACAGGTCTGAGAGGTTAGAAGGCAAATCGTTTGAGGAACAAAAGAGGGGCAAACTGGGGCTCAGAGAGGTTGCAGAATACCCCACAGTTCCCATTCCACAGCTGGCAGTTCCACCCTCTACCTTCTTCTGCCTGGCAGGGTGTAGCCATGGCCCCAGCTGTGAGCCCTGGGTTTAAATCCCGACTCACCTCCCACAAGTGACCTTAGGCAAGTTACTTCTCTGTGCCGTTGGTTTTCATTGTGTGAAAAAGGATGCCACTATGAGTACCTACTTACGTGAGTGGTTGAAAGGATTAACAAATCAACGCACACAAACCATTGCGACGGGTTCCCAGACTGGACGGCACTCAGGGAGAAATAGACTTTAGGTCAGACGGGAAAGGTGTCCTGGAAGAAACAACCTTCTTGAATCTGTCTACCTAAGTAGATACACGCCTAGCCACCCTCTCTACCCCTGCTCTCCAGGGCTGGACTAGGCTGGGGCAAACCAGGCCCTGAGGGTGCCCAATTTAAGGAGGTGCTCATTCTCAAGTGCTCACCCCATACTTGCATGACCCCAAGAGTGGGTGCCTCCTTAAATCTTTCACCCTCAGCACTTTAGTCCCCTCTCCCTACCCAGGTCCTGAGGCCCTCCCAGGATTCTGCGCTTCAGGCCTGCTGCAGCTGCCTGTCTGCCTATCCGTCTGTCTCCTTACACACACGCAGATGGCACACAGTTCTGAGAGGGGGCGGGGTATGGTCACTTCTCCCAAATGCCCCTCGCTCCTTGGCTGTTCGTGCCTCCTGGGGTGACAAGGACTTCTCCTGGGGCCCTAAGCAGCCAGTTCTCCGATCACGGAGCCAGATCATGGAGCCAGGCTGGCCGACCCCTGGCACCCAGCCCCCTTCCCAAAGAGGACTGTGAATTGGGTTCTAATGAGAAATTAATAAGGCAGCTGTGCTAACAACTAATGATAATGGCAAAGTCGTTAAAAAAGGATTCTTTACATGTTTTTAATTACAGCAATTAAGGGGAAGTCAATAAAACATCTTCCCCCCTCCCCAGCCCCTTCCTGTCCCCACCCGGAGTCTCTTCTTTGTATTTTTTAAGTCACCATAAATTTCCGGCATTCAGCATGTGGGATGAATGGTTGAGAGGGTTGGGAGAGCCTTCCAGAGGCAACAGAGGCCCTTGAGCCAGCGTTTCACCACATCCAGGTCCTGAGGGCATCTCTGTGTTCTTCTCACCTGGGCGAGACCTCCTGATCCCTTTCCCCAGCCCTCATCTGTGGGGCTCAGACTTGAAACCATCCACTCCAGCACCAAACCCACACACGCACCCACCCACAGCAGGGCAGAGCGCCTGCCCCATCCTGGGAGGCTGGCCAGCTTCCTTCCTACCAGGCGGCTTGGCAGCCACTCCTGCAAAAGACAATTGGAGGGGAACAAGCCTGCTGTCACGTGGGCTAGGGGTAATCCTAAAATGCCACCCGTATGCCTGTTTCTCTTCATTTTCAATCTGAAGTGTGGGTATTGAATGCAGGATGCTTAGGGGCCAGGTGACAGTTCCTGATAACATCATTATGTCTTTCTGGAGCACTCATGTTACCTGAGTATTCAAATCACTCAGGAGACAATTATCATTGCTGCACACCCCCATACGCCAAGCACTGTTCCAGGCAGTGGGGACATAATGAGAGACAAACCCAAGACACACATCTCTTCTCTCGAAGAAAGTAGCAAGAGAAACAAAAGTTAAAAGGTGAATATATAATATATAGGTTATAGATAAAGTCCATGACAAAAACTAAAGTGTTCTAAGGAGAGATGAAGCTGGGCGAGAGGTTTGGAGGATGGGACATGGGTCTTATTTGATATGATGGTGGAGGATGGCCATTGGGAGAGGGTGACATGGAATAGAGTCTCAAAGGAAGGTTGTGGGGGGTGAACCATGCAGACAGAGGAGGAGATCATTCCAGGTCAGAACAGCAGGTGCAAAGGCCCTGAGGCAGATGTGGATGTCTGAGGCCAGGTAGTTGAAGTGGAGTGGGGAAGCAGAAAGTGGAAGACAGTAAGGCTGGAAGGTGACACCTTGGGGACAGATCCCAGCATTCTAAGCTGTGGTCAGTGCTTTGGATGTGTATTAGTCTGTTCTCAAGCTGCTAATAAAGACATGCCCAAGACTAGGTAATTTATAAGGAAAGAGGTTTAATTGACTCACAGTTCCATATGTCTAGAGAGGCCTCGCCATCATGGTGAATGAGGAGCAACGTCACGTCTTACATAGCGGCAGGCAAGAGGGCTTGTGCAGGGGAATTTCCACTCATCATCAGATCTTGTGAGAACTCACTATCACGAGAATGGTATGGGGGAACCACTCCCATGGTCCAATTATCTCTGCCTACCCTTGACACATGGGGATTATTACAATTCAAGGTGAGATTTGGGTGGGGACACAAATCCAAACCATATCACGATGCTACTCAGAATGAGAGAGAAGTCATGGGTGACTGGGGACAGAGGCATGAAGTGATCTGAAGTGAGCAGCTTTGTTTCCATGATAAACAACACATGAAACCACAACAAAGTACCATTCCGTGCCCACCAGGTTGGCAGAAACCAGAGTCTAACACCACCAAGTGTTGGTGGAAACTCACATGGCTGCTGGTGTCAAGTTGGTAAATTGATACCAATTGGAGTTTATGCAAATGTTGTTAGTAAAATGAATGTGTGTATAACGCCACAACCCACAATTCCATTTCTAGGCGCAGAGCTTAGAGATTCTCTTAGCCTTTGTGAGACTGCTCTTGGCAGGACAAGCAAAGCACCAAAAGCAAACCAAGTGTGATCCATGGAATTCCATCCAGCCATGAAAATGACTCAATGAAGGGCAAGGACCAGGATGGAGCCCCTCCAGAAAAAATGTTGCACAAAAATGCAAATCACAGAAGACTACATACAGAATAATCCCAGGTGTAAAATGTTTAAAAACAGACTACACTGACCACAAATTGTTTAAGGTTGCTCTAGGAAAGGAAACGTGAAAGGAAAGCAAAGCCCCATGGCCTCAATATTCAGGAGAAAAATCACCTGGTGCGGGGGAGCGGAGGAGATCTGGGGTAGGGGAAAGGTATTGTTAGTGTTCTAGGCCTTCAGCTGGGAGGTAGGTGTAGGAGTGTTTATTTTATTCTTCTTTAAACTATACATATAATTATATTTGCTCTTTTGTATGCATGACATATTTCATGATTTTAAAATGTTTTTAAAATAAACACATAAAAGCAGGAAATATATTCTGAAGTGAAATGCACACTTTACAAGGCCTTTTAAGATATGACAAAGACATCAGAATAATTTTTAGCACCTTCTACTGTGCCCCAGGCCTGCACTTCTTTGCTCTTGGGGGAATTTCTTGAGAATGTTGGATCAGCCCTGCAGGGCATAACACGGCACATTAGCAAGCAGGTACCTCGGGGAGTCAGTGTGGCAAGCCCTTAACTGTTTTTGCCTTAGTGTGAATGAGTTTTCCCAGGGGATCCTGGGGCCTCAGCCTCTGTCATCACCATCATTGTCTCCACCCTCCCTTCTTGCCTCTAGCCTGCACTCCTGCACTGTCTGGCTAAACAGACCCCCTCTTAGCAGCCTCTTGCTGCTGTGGTTCAGTGCATACATGGCTGTGTGGGTGGGGCATACACACACATGTATGTATGTATGGATACATTCACCCATGGCCTACTCAACAAGGAGCTCCCTGGGCAGATCCAAGAAGCACATTGGACAAACTACAATGGAAAGACTGTGGGGGCCTTGGGGCCTGAGAACCACAGTGAGGTGGGAAGATG